ATCTCTACTTGTCCCCACTATTCTCCATTAAAAATGGGTTATCATAGGGCCAAGATAAAGACATGGCCAAACACACACAATCAGCAAAGCTGAGTACATAAGCGTAATTAAACACACTAACATACTTTCACCTATCAACACACACTTACCTCAATGCACCTGTTTACAAGCACACTCAAAAATCAACAAGACACTTTAACTAGACACTAAATAATTCATTTAGCGTTGATTACGCATCGAAAGGGTTTCCAACTATACCTCCCCCAAATAAATTGAGGTTAACTGACACGGGAGCTAACCATGCCAGCGACAAAACCACTCAAAGGTGGCGGAATTCCTTCGCACAATAATAAATAAAAAGGAATGTACAACGTCCTGTACTCCATTAGAAGTTATGGTTAAATATAAAACCCCATAACTCCCCCCATTGTTCATACTCAAGATATATACGTTCCAAGAGTTTTGGTGCGTAATCTCTTTCACTTTACGTTATTTACATGTTATTGGACTTGGTGATGACTCTCAAGCATAATAAATCAATCAACAATAATTATTCAATCAACCAAACATACCAATTTAATTCTTGAATAATTAGTGACCACATATTATTTAATGTTGAACCCTTTTTAATTCTACCTCAGTGTCAAAGACACCTTAAACGCATAAAGCGCCAAAAATACTATCCCTTGGTGTTAAAAACACCTTAAGTGCACAAAGGCACCAACATACTATTTATCCCTTATGTACATAGACACTTATATAGCTTAATCCTCATGCTTGAAGCATCAATAAAAATTATTTGAACCATGATAAAATTCCTTTTCAATATTCCAAACATAATTAAACATGTAGTTTAATTAATCATGCATTCTAACATACCATAAATAAAAGTGTGGTTCAAACACAACATGCCCAAAATATAATTTTCAAATCCATAAACTATCACAAATAACTCATGTTTCACAATTCAATCACCAACACCATTAATTCACAATTCCATACATAAACCTTAGCATGATACTACTTGTAATTAACTGAAATCAAGCGTAGCATGATTCTACATCATCAAAATATGCTAAGTACGCGAACGTACCTTGAGTACGATTTTAAAATTGCCATGACTAGTAGAAATTGCTTACTTCAAAGTCTCATACACATTATAATCATAATAGAGTATTAAAATCCACTCTAAACAAATTACTTCAAAGATAGTGGGGTTAATAGTTTATTAAAAAGTAATAAATGTGAGAAGAGAGATATAATAAAAAAAAAAGTAGTATTGGGTTTGGGTGGGGACCATAAGAGGAGAGAGATATAATATTTTAATGTAGCTTTTTGCCAAAAAGGAAGTGTAACACTTATTAAAACACGGGCGAATTTGGTAAGTGTAACACTTAAAAAAAACAAGGAGGGAGTAATTAATATGAATAAATAGGAAAACCCATGGATGAATTTTTCTCTTATTTATCCGTTAGTGTTTTTTTTAAATCAAATTATATAAAAATGTGTAATTTTTTTTAACAATGATAAAGATGTGTTTTGATGATACTAATACGAAGTACTCTCTCCGTTTTTAAATACTTGCTCCACATTTCATTTCCGGCCGTTTTTAAATACTTTAACAATATTTAATTCATTTCTCACACCTAGTGGATCCAACATTATACTCTCTCTCCTCATATTCTTCAACTACTTTTACTGTTTACAATTTTTTATTCTCCCAATTACCCCAATACCTCTATATTTTATTATTTTCTCCAATTTCTCCTAAAACTCCGCACATGAAGAAAAGGAGCAAGTATTTAAAAATGGAGGGAGTATTACATAAGTCAGAAAATTGTTATTAATGTTTTTTTTAAATTTTTTTTTTTAAAATAATGTTATTAATGTATTGTTATACACTTATACTCAAGTATTACCTCTGTTTCTTTTACTTGACATGTTTCTTTTATCACGCTTGCCAATGTCAGAATTTAATGATCAATAATTTAATGCTCAACTAGTTTTGTGCCAGTGCGATGCCCGGGTTGCTTATTGAATTTTAAGATGAATTTTTTAATCTATATGTCAAATTTTAAAACATATCATTGATACAAAATTAATTTGGAATTGATATGTTTTTGTGACGATTTAAACTATGTAGTAAGCATGTAATGACTAATAATAATATTTGGGAAAAACATTTCTTGACCCGTAACCTGAAATAATAACTCTGCCCGAAAGGACTCGTGGCCCGACCCGATTGACAGGTCTACGTAGAGTAATAAAATTATATCAGATTGTGAAGTATATATTATTTAAATTGATTAGAATATATTAATGTATAAATAATGGATGTGGCACATTTTGAACTAAGTCCTTCACTTCTAAAAAATATGATACAAAAAATAAATTTATATGATAATTTATGAGAGTTATAATCTAATTATTTTTTTGACTAAAATTATAAATTAATTTGTACATATGAACTATTAGTACTTGTCTTAAAAAAAATGAAATATTAGTACTTTATCGAAAATAAAACTTTAAATTAACAATTTTATCCTAAAATTCTATCCAAATTTAATTAAAAATAGAATACTAAACTAACTTTTTTATCCTACAAATTGAATTCTATATAACTTTATCCTATATGGCGCGACACTTGGCGAAAAGCTGACTCTTCTCCTGACTAAAAGTTTAGCTTTATATATTAGTTACTAGTTTTGTGCCCGTGTGATGTCCGGGTTGTTTATCGAAATTTAAATAATTTTTTTTTTTATCTAAAATACATTTGCTAGTTGAATTTTTGTACTCATGGATTAATAATCACATGTCCGTTTATGGTTATCAATGATGTACAAACAAAAAGAATGGTGATCTAAACGCTAAAGTTGTGATCTCTTTTCATTTTCTCCGAATATCTAAGAAAAGGTTGGTTGCATGTTAAGACTTAAGAGAATGTTTATATGTAGATTATTGGTATTTTATTGAAAATAAAATTCTAAACCAAAAGTTTTATTAAAAACAAAATTCTAAAATAACTTTTTTTTATCCTATTAATCTATTCAAATTTTATTGAAAATAAAACTCTAAAATAACTTTTTTATTCTACAGAATCTATCCAACTTTTTATTTTTTATTTTTTTTATTTTTTTATCCTATTCTATAAACAATATATTCTAATAAATCCTATGTGTAATTTTAATATTTAATTATCGTCTACGTGACGTGACACTTGACGAAAAATTGGGACGTCAAGTGTCGATGTCTCGTATCTTGGCTAAAAATTTAGCTTTATATATTAGTTATATGATATGATAAATAAAAAACTTATTGAAACGAATTAAAAAAGATCTCACAGGAATATGTTTGTCCTTATATATTATTCACAAAAGACGGGCAAAGAAGAGGTAATGAATAGTGTAAAAGTCAAAGTGGATCAAGTAAAAAACCAGATGAAGTATATATTATCCTAAACGTAATAATAAACATTTTCCAAACCTTTATAATTATTTTTACAATTTGGTAAATTTTGAGCGAGGTTGACTTTTAATGGACCTCACAATGAATTTCTCAAATGAATACTCCGTATAAGGTGGAATGATGGGCCCCAAAATAAATTTCCCCAAGTCTTTTTTAGTTTCCTTTGTTTTCTCCGTTCCAACATTAATAAGCTCAAACTCTAGCTTTAATGGAGCTTGGCCGCTTGAACCTCTGTGATCAACGCGAGGCCCATCAAAAGGGTGGCCCTAAGCGGCTAAGCCGTAAAACGATCTTTACAGAAGCCTTGGTAAGTCTCTTTATCTATAACTAAACTCCTAGCCAACAACTTCAAAATTCGCGATACGGAGGTTTTGTTCAGGGTCTGAACTGCAGCTGACAGAGATGATTAGTAATTTAGTATTGAGCTTCTTATACGACTACATACACAATTTTTTACAGTGGGTAAATTTTTCTATTTCACTAGGACAATTCGTCCAACTTTAGTTATATTTGGGTAAATTGACCATTTCCAGCTACAACACACTTGATTTTACCTTTTCTGGGTGATCTTGATGTAAATCACTAAATTGGGTGGATTTTTTGTGAGATTGATGAAATAAGGTCAGTTTTGGTTGATGTTAAGGTGAATGCTGAAGATACCATGGAAGACATTGTTTTGAGCTCTGTTCTTCGGACTCAGAAAATTTTGAGAAAAGTTTTGATTTTCAGTGAGAAAATGCAAAATCTAAAATCTGGGTATTGTAATTTAGAAGTTTAATTGAAATTGGTTTGAATTTTTTCAAGTTTGCAAAAATGAAGTCAGTGTTTCAAACGAGCAGACTTGATTACAATGAAGTCACTTGGAGTGATTTCCAAACTTAATGGTTGAACGTTTGAGCAATTACAAAGGAGAGAGACTATGACGCCGTTAGTTACGGCTGTGATATGGCGTTAACTCCAACTGTAAGTCTGGTTGTTACGTGGCTGCTTAGTCATACTAGTTGACCATGTCAACTGATGGAATTTACAATTGCGTCCTCAACTTAATAGGATAAAATTCCAATACAGCCCTTAGATTAACATATTAAAGCAATCAAGAAGATTAACTTGAATTTCCTCTTTCATACATTAATAACATTGGAAGCATTTTCATAATATTTGTTGTTTCAACCCAAATATGCATCATATATTTATATATATTTACACTAATCCGTCCTCTGTTTGTTTTTTGTTCATCAACAATGGCACTTCAATTTCTAAATATCAGTGCACATAACGATAGCAAAGGGAATGCCCCAGTTTCTCATGGTGTTCTCACATAGCATTTACGTGAATAAACATACGACTTTATTCAATTGTGGAGCCTACAATAATAAAAAATTTGTTGATTTATTCACGAAAATGCCCCATGATAAATAACAAAATTAAATACTTTAAGATTTTTTGGCAAAAAATTACAAAAATATATATAAATTGGAAATGGTTCTCTTCACCAAAACTAAAAAATAAAATAAAAAAATTTGGGATGGTTTTTTTTTTTTTACCGTTCTTGTTGGTTATAATGGTTGGTTTTGGTTTCTCTCCATTTATCATCCCTGTCCTTGCTGACATTTGGAGAGTATTTTTCTCTCTCATCCTTAAATTGCATTTGGTATGTTTTAGGAATTATGTGTGTTGTGTTGTAGGAAAGAGAGAGGAACGACATTTGTGGTAGAAATGTTCCACTTACCATAAAGAAAAATAATAACTCAATACATTTAGACGGCTACTTAGTGTTTACACTAGGAGCATTCTATAAATATCCTTCCATCCTACAAGCAAAAATGCGGATGGAAGGAATTAGAAGAAATTTTTTTATCCTAAGTTACAAAACTCAATGTATAGCCTGATACTTTTCTTGTTAGATTTCAGCAAATTCTTATCCTAAACCCATAGAGCTCCGGCCTCTTTCAACATTTGCACGAGTCTTCCTTGAACCTGCAGGCTAATAATCTCGTTAGCACCACCAACTAGTTTTTGGCCTATGAAAACTGCAGGAATACTCGGCCTAAGTCCTAGCCTTTGTAGTGCTCTATCTATTTCTTGCCCGTTGGAAATGTCATCTAGCTGATAAATTGTTGCGTTTGCTCCATAGCCGCTGATCAGTTTAATCACTGAGTGGCTTATGCAGCAAGAGCTTCTGCTGAAGATTACCAAAGGCTTTTGTTCCACTAATCTGTTCACAGTATCCATTACTAGCTAAATATCTGACTTTGTCTTTCTTCTGCGCTGTATAGCTCTGTCTGAAAACAGAATGAAGCAGGCAGATCAGGATCAAATGTGTTACTGCAGCTGAGTTTTGATAATGGATTTTCTTGCCTTCGATTTGATTAATTTGAGCCTCATACATGCCATCTATTTATAGTATGAGTGGATCAGTAATTTACATTGCTTCTCTATTATTTTATTTTAAAGTAGTGTAAGGAATGATGCTCCATAAAATCAGTTTATTCCACAATATATCCTCTTTAGGCTTGAAATTCTGTGGATATGTTGTCTCGAGGTTTAAAGAACTGATCAGTGATCTGTGGACATGGTAAAGAAAGGGAATCTGGATAGAACTACAGATGATCAAATAATGAGTAGTGTTTAAATTTTGCTTTTGAAGCACTCGAAGAGACTACTTTGTCTACTTATGCTCAAAGGTATCACCTGGAATATGGTACGGGCTCCATGATGCTCAGAATATATATCTTTGGAACCGATGCTAGTTTTATTTACAGCACAGTGTCTAAATTCAATGTATTTTGAACTTTTACACATTTCATGGTACCTAAGAGTTTTATTACATTAATCTCAATGAGCAACAATTATGGGATTAAGATGGTGCATGATTCCTGATCTCATATGGGAATAATCTTACTATGACAGCGGCATTAATATCTGAAACTCTGCTGTTGACTTAAGAGATCTAACTTCAGGGTGTATAAGAAATTTTATCATCACTTTGTGGTGATTATATGAAACTGTTAAATAACAAATGTACAAAAATACCTAAGGTAAGGCTGTTCACCGTTTTTATTGTCTTAATTTAAGGAGATACTGAAGTATACATGTACTGCTTGATAGCAGGACATGCTGCAATACTGCATGGAGTACAAATTTATTTCATTTTTTGAGAAAATGCTTTAACTTGTTAACATCTCATAAACAATTTCATAAGACAAAGAAGAATGTTGAGCTTGTATGGTACTAGTGTGAGTGGAATGTCAACTCGGGTTTGTTCGATCATTGTGATATTCTGGACATGCAGAAAAAGGCACAAAAGGGATGGTGTGGCAGTGGCTCGGTGGAAGGAAAAGCAGAAAAGGGATGCAAGAATGATTCTTCCCACCACATCAATGTGTCAGATTAGGTTCTCTTGTTATCGTACTACCTTTGTCCTGCCTCTGCCTTCAAAAGATGACGCGCCACTACTTGTGTATAGATTAATTGCATTAGCCACATACATCTAGAAATATCTGTTGATTATGTAATTACAACCGATAACTATGAGTATTAGCACTCACAGAAAAGTCACATTCAGTCACTGAGAACCAAGTAAAAATGTGTCACAGCAAGAAGTTACAAACTTTCTTTTTATCTGAAGTTTTGAGCATATGCGTATGCTATACATTAATTGTTTTGATTTTGCATGATCATATAAAATTTGATTCATATGTATAATTCTTTTTTGGTTTAAGTGGTTAACTAAAATAGCCTTAGGATAGATGTCTGAAATAATTGGCATCTTTAATGATTTTTTCAGTTTTCAAATTTGAAAGGTTCTGTTCTACCTTTCAAACACCAGATTCTTTTGATGAGCAGAATTCCTGATACAAGATATCTCCTAGTTATAAAAGATAGCTCTAGGAGATGCCAACGGCCACTTATATATGTTGTCGACCTCCCAGTAACGTTTAGTCTTTACCCTCTATCAAAGAACTGAGAGGATAAGGACTCTAAGGAGTCTAAGGATATGACTGTCAGAGGAATAAAATCATATGTACATGATGTACAGCTGGAATATCAGTTTTGAGTCGCGTATTTCTCATAAACTTCTATGTGGGAAAGATAATCACGACTCTTTATCCAAAAAGCAGGTTTTTAAACTGAGATTCTGCCTTTTTATCCTTTACTTTGGAGGTCTTCAGAAGAAAGAAAAATACCGCGTTTTTATTTGGATCAGATTCATGCAGTGAATGTGGCAACTAGACATAGATTTTGTGTCCTTGATAAGCTATAGCTATCATTAGTCAATATTCCTTTTGTATGTCATCACTTTTCCTTACAAGAAGACTTCTTGGTGTGGGAGATTTAGATTATATTAGTATTGATGTTTTAAAAACTCTATTATCAAAACTTTCCAATGAGTTATTAACTTAATATATATGAAATACAGTACCTGTTTAATGCCTTGACTAAAAAAATACAGATTTTGCACTCGATGTAAGTTAGCCTTTTGATCCTTCTGATCAACAGGCCCAACAGGATGAAGAAACAGAAAATGAGATGTAATTTCATAATTTGATAAAAAGTTTACATTTTCTTTAGTGTACTTTTACTTTCTAGGATCACCTCATCCTTTATTTAAGGAATAAGTAAAATCTGGACTGCCTAAACCTGTAAAGATTAATAATATTTTGTTCTTTGTTACAACACTATATTTTAGTTGGCAGAGGATATGAAGCAGCAGCTGCCGGCTGAATCACTATTGGCTGGTGAAGAATGCAACTGCTGACAGAATGGGTTTTACTATGATGTTCCCTGGGACTGCCAGAAAAATAAAATTATGACAGTAGCATGATAACTCTACTGTCGTATCTTCTAAAAGCCGTTCTATTTTTACTAGTTAAGTTTAAACCTTTGTATCAGATTCTGGTTTGTGTCCTTCAGCATAGTATTGACTAATTTCACAGTAAACCTGACTATTTAATTACTAGTCAGGACGATTGCTCTTATCAGAAATAATTAGCATTGCTGAAACTAAACTAGCAGCTAAATGTTACTTTGACATCACTAGATTTGGTTATGTCACTATGTGCATCAATCTAATTTGCTGCTCAAATGTGGCCAGCCATATCTATAACTAATGTGAAAAAGTAAAAGTAGAATACAAGTCCATGCTACAAGCACTGCCAAGCACATGGAGGAATTTTATCAAGAATCAACAGCTCTAGGTGTAGTGAAGAGCCAAAAAGGTTTTTAACACAATTCTACAGTACGCCGAGGTTGTCTGCTTGTAATGAACTTTTTTAGCTGCTTTATCTAAACTGACAATTGTCTGAATTGTGCACATAGCTTACAAAGGAATAAATGCTGACACGAGATTGTACAAGTCAGTACGGAAGGAATGTCAACTTCAGATTTGGCCTAGCTAGAGATTTGCAAGCTAAGGTTGGCTTCTAGTATAGCATGACTGCATGATACAGGCTGTAGCATCAAACTCTCTAGAACAAGGAAGAATATTTTTTACACAGTGACGTGCAGTAATGTAGTACAGTGTAAGGGTATGAAATTGTTTGATTTTATTCTAAACCCATAGAGCTCCGGCCTCTTTCAACATTGGCACAAGTCTTCCTTGGACCTGCAGGCTAATAATCTCGTTAGCACCACCAACTAATTTTTGGCCTATGAAAACTGCAGGAATACTCGGCCTAAGTCCTAGCCTTTGTAGCGCTCTATCTATTTCTTGCCCATTGGAAATGTCATCTAGCTGATAAATTGTTGCGTTTGCTCCATAGCCGCTGATCAGTTTAATCACTGAGTGGCTTATGCAGCAAGAGCTTCTGCTGAAGATTACCAAAGGCTTTTGTTCCACTAACCTGTTCACGGTATCCATTACTAGCTAGTTATATGACCTTTTTTGCTGAGTTTTTCGGGATGTACTGTTTTTTTTTTTTTTTTCTTTTCTTTTGCATTATATAGTTTTTTTCTGAAAACAGAATGAAGCAGAAAGATCAGGATCAAATGTGTTACTGCTGCTGGGTTTTGGTAATGGATTTTCTTGCCTTCACTGTGAATAATTTGAGCCATCATACATGCCATCTATTTATAGTATGAGTAGTTCAGTGATTGACATTTCTTCTTTAATATTTTATTTAAAAGTAGTGTAAGGAATGATGCTCCATAAAGATCAGTTTATTCCATTATATATCCTCTTTCAGGCTTGAAATTCTGTCGATATGTTGTCTCAATGTTTAAATAACTGGTCAGTGATCTGTGGACATGTTAAAGATAGGGAATCTAGATAGAACATACAGATGATCAAATTAAATAATGAGTAGTGTTTAATTTTTGCTTTTGAAGCACTCGAAGAGACTTCTTATGCTCAAAGGTATCGCCTGGAATATGGTACAGGCCCCATGATGCTGATCAGAATATAAATTCTTGGAACCGATGCTAGTTATATTTACTGTACATCAAGAGTAAATTCAATGTATTTGAACTTTTACACATTCATGACATATAAGAGGTTTCTTACATTATTCTCAATGAGCACCAATTATGGGGTTAAGATGGTGCATGATTCCTGCTCTCATATGAGATTCTTACTATAAACAGCAGCATTAGTAAGTGTTTCGGATGAAAACAATCGAATCTCGGAAGATCCTTTTATCTTGAGGGAACTTGGTCTCGGTCCGAACGACGCCGGAGCCGAGGGTTTCCTGCACAACAAATACACGTAAACTAGCCTCGGGGGGGACGCCGAGGAAGGCCCCTCCGATGCTTAAGTCAGTATATTAGAGAGAGAAAGCTGCGCAAGAGTTTAGTTGCTTGAGGCTTTATTGTCTTACCAAGAATTGACCAAATTGTTGGCTTTTATACCTTGGCTAATGAAGGAGGCGGATTGGGCCCGGAAGTCAGTTGGGCTGGGCCAAGCTGATTGGGCCGTTGACTGACCTTGACATGGCTTTGAGGATGTTGATTTTTGACTTTAGCATATTTGGAGAGTTGAACCTTAACCTTGGGCTTTTAATTGGATCATTCAGTGACCAGGCCCAATTGGACTAAATTGGACCCAAACAACTTGCCCCCCAGACCCGATTTGGAAGGATGACGGGTCGGGTTTGATTTAATCAGAAAAGGAGGGAAGTGAATGATTTGTTAATCCAAAAATGTGAATTTAAACCGTAATTAACCCATGATTAATGAGATAACAACAGTTAATGTGGATAATTGCGGAAGTTGGACGGGTAGTGGGCGATTTAACTGCAAGGTCGTGTGTTTAACGGCTACTTAGTGGGGTGCTTGAGAGAAATTGAAACGCAGACTCCTTGAATTCCCATTTCTGGAGATATAAATAGAGGCGCGTCTTCTCTCCCCACTCACTCATCAACACAAACCCAGAATTCTCAAGAACGCTCAAGAGCCCGCATCAAAACTTCGCAAATTCCCCGAGCATTAAGCTTAGAAGCTGAGACCTGTCACTACCAATTCGTAAATCGGCGGCTTTTGCTTCAGATCAAGGTAAATTCCTTTGATTTTATTTCATTTTTCCTCGACTTTGCACTCTTTCCCCTTTTTCGACTTTTTCCTTCGAAATTCGTCGATGGTGAGGGGAGTTAGAGGTGGAGCCCGTGCTCCAAGAAGAGCAAGGCTAATCCCCGATCCCAGGGACAGGATTGGGACCTGGAATGGACGAAGGACAGAGTCTGACCCTGCTGAAGGGGTTAGGGCGACTCCCATTTCTTCGGCTCCTCCTCAGAGGGCTGAGGGGGTGAGAGCTTCAGGACGGGATGATGAAGTTCCCGCTGTCCTTTGGGATATCCTCCCAGGGTTTTCAGAGTGGGAGGATGCCGAAGTAGCTTCGGCCATGATAAAGAACCGTCCCTACTCATGGTGGGTAGAGAACGCCGATCAATATCAATTTGCTGAGCAAATTGAGTTGCACTACGGCATTTTTGAAGCTGATGGATATTGGTGCCGAATGCCCTCAGCATCCGATAGAATCCATCGTCCACCCCCGGGGTATGTGGGGGTGTACACGAGACAGCTTCAGTATGGGCTGAGGTTCCCTTTGGACGTATTCGTCCGAGACTTGCTGATCCATTACAACATTTCCCTGTGCCAGCTGACCCCCACCAGCATCCGAAGGGTAATGACGTACTTATGGGTCTGCAAATTCTTCAGATACGTGCCGAACCTGCACTGCTTCAGAAAGCTCCATCGGCTAGTGCCAAATATTCAGAGTGGGCACGGAAGCCATGGTTCTGGGTGGTATCGGATTGAGTCTCGGCCCCCGTTCCTAACCATGTGGCCGAACGACTCTTCAGACAAGGACTGGAGAGGTCAATGGATTTGGGTTAGGGCGCCCACGGAGCCGAGCCATCCTCATGTTTTCAGCGCTCCCCGGTATCTTGCCGAGCCGGATCCTGATATGGGAAGTTTAGGTCCTCCCGAAGATAGCGGACCAGACCCGAACCTTAATCAGCAGAACATCTTCGGCAAGCTGCCGAACCGGGGAGGCAGCGGCCGAATGCAGCATATCCCGGAGACTTGGCTCCCCGATACGCACTATGTTTTCCAAGAGAATATGCTGGCAGCTGTCGGCCTCAGCCGAAAGTTTAGGGATGGTAATCTTCTTCGGCTGGGGCCGAGGCCTTTTAATTATCTCTTTTCTTCTTTCATTTTGCTTTCTTGTGATGTGCCGAACTAACTGAATTGACCTCTCCCCTTTTCTTTTTCAGAACGGGACGAGACCAACGTCGGCATTGATTACGCTCGCCTTGGCGTCAACCGAGAACGAGTCGTAACTGATCGGGCTCCCCCTATCACTGAACCAAGGCGCCGAGAGGTTCACCTAGACTCTTCCCACTTCCAAATTGAGGCTGTTGCTCTGTATCAGAGGCAGAAGCCTTGGTGGGAGAAGAGGGATCCCTTGTTTCAGCTGCTGGAAGAAGAAGCTGAAGCTGCCCGCACAGCCGAAGAGGTTGCACGGGTACTTGAGGCTTGTGAAGGAGGAGAAGGGTCCTCCAGAGCTGCTGAAGCCGAAGCTGCAGCTAGAGCAGCTGAAGAAGACGAGGCTTTGCTGAAGACCTCGGTGAGTTTTTAGACAACTTTTTTCTTTTTTTTTTTTTTTTTACTCACACTCTTCTTCCCCCCTGTCTGTTACAGTCTGAAGAGAGTAACAGACACAGAGAAGGCAAAGCTCCTGTTCGTCCCGAAGATCAAATACAAGAGTCTTCAGATTCAGATATGGACGAGCAGCCCCTTCTGAAAAGGCGCCGAAGGATGGCCATCATCGGCCCTCATGATTTTCAGCAGAGGCCGATGACCATCGGCGTCGCAATAAGGGAACCTGAGGAAGGCAATGGATCGCCGAGGGTTCCCCAGCCAACACCCCAATCTCCTCAAAAGACCCCTCCGCCACCTCCTGAGATGGAGGTGGATCAGAGAACTCCCGGACCTAAGGGAGGGGTCCAAGAAGAAATCAAGGAGAGTGCTGCTGAGCACGAAAATAAAGATGCCGTGATGTCAAGTGCTGAAGGCTTCACGGCAGATATCGCAAGAGAGGTTGAGGCTTTCGTCCTCACCCCTGAAGAAGAGGAGGTCATAGTACTTGACTCCTCTGAGAAGGACGATGCTGAGACAACCAAAGCTAATCAAGCTCCATCGTCGTCCTTCCCTTCTTTCCAGACTCTGCATTCTGGAGAAATGGGTTTCTCGGCCCCCCGAATTCCAATCCCAGATCACATCTGGGACCTCATATGGGGTCAAAACCGAGAAGGAGCTGCAGCCTACTTCGGCAATTTTGCTGGCATGTCCGAAGTAGACAGGGCAAGGATCTGGTCGCTGAAGGCCACTGCTGGGATGGGCGAATCCAGTAGATCAGTTCCTGACCCAGCCAGGTCTAACCAACTGCTGATGATGCAGGTAATTTTCCTTGCCTTGATTTCTTTCTGAACTCAACCTTTCAGCTATTATTTTTTACTTTTTTAACTTGTGCCCCTGTTTTCAGTTCGTGCACAATCAGACTCTCACTGTAGAGCTGATAGATTCCCTACAAGATAGGGTGGACGCTGCTGTGCACGAAAGGAAGGTGGCTGAAGAGGAAGTTAAGCTTGCTAAGCTGAAGCAAGCAGCAGCTGAAGAGAAGCAGCAGGAGGTTGAGGAGTACGGTAAAAAAGCTGCCGAAGCTCTGAAAACCTTCTGCGATGCTATGGAGATGGAGGTTTTTCCCCCACTGATGGAAGGGGAAAAATTCCTCCAGGAGCATATGGGAGTGGACGTCTCCAAATTCAAGGCTGCTATTGAGAGCCGAATTCAAGAAGGAACTGCTGCACAAGCTGAAGTGCAGCAGCGTCTAGAGGCTCTTGAAGCCAGCCGAATGGCTGCTGAAGAGTTGCTCTTGGCCAAAGACGTCCAACTCTCAGAGGCTGCTGCTGCTGCTGAAGCTCAAAGAGCTAAGCTACAAGAGGCTGAGGATCAGCTCACTGCCAAGAAGGAAGAAATGGTCCAAGTTCAGGCCGAGGCTTCCCGGGTTCAGCAAGAGTTTACCGAGCTGAAAGGCTCCTCCTCCAAGCTCGTCGATGAGCTGAAGAGATCCGAGGAAGACTTGGAGGAGACGAAGAAGAAGTTGGCCGATGCTGAGGCTCTACTCAAAGTCCGTATCTATACCCAAGAAGAGTATGAAATGGGTTTTAGAAACGGGTTCAGAGTGTGCCGAAGGGTCTGCCTTCATGCTGAGCCGAAGCTGGACTGGTCCAAATGTGCTGAATGGGTCCAAGATCCCGAAGACCCTCACATGAAGTATGCCACTCCAATCGAAGCTGAAATCCTTAAGGCTGAGGAAGCCGAGGAAGAAGCTGAGAGGATGGAGTTGGAGGCTGAGCAGAGGGAAAGGGAGGCTCGGCAGAGTGCAAAGCCTGCTTCTTCTGCTGCTGGAGCTGAGACCACCATTGGGCCCAATGAAGCTGATCAGTCTGATCCTCAGGCTGAAGCATAGGAACTCGGGCAGTCGTCTTCAGAATCTTGCGGTTCATCATGCGCTCAACTTTAGACTTGCCGCTTTCTGAATTTTTGCCTTTTGTTTTTTTTTTTTGCTTCAGCTTGCCTTATCGTACAACAGCTTATTATATTTTTATTTTGCCTGTACGTATTTCGGCAGCTGTTACTTTCCGCTTGTGGGCGGCTGCCGACTATTTTTGTAATTCAACATTTTTATTTCAAAGAAGTTCACTTTCTCAGCTTTCTTGTGTATATTTTTTTTCTTCGCTTTACCAGTCTTCGCACTTTACTGCTTTCTTTGAATGATC